TCTTTCAATAAGTAAAAGGCAGTATTTCAGATACAGGAATTCTAATTGGATTGGCATATTTAAGATCAAAAGTATACAGTAGACATTAGTATCTATCTTCAGCTCTTGCCTTTAATGGGTTAATGAACACAAAATAAAGTGCAGGTGAGTCTGCTTGGTTTCGAATAGTGAAGGGATTTCCCCAATATTTATCGTTTTATATAACCAGTTACATAAAAGCCTAAATAAAAAAACTGATCTCCCGTAGATTTTGGTTTCCATTTTGGATTTTTATTAGAGCTTTTTTATTTTAGGAAACATACACTTTCTGGAGAAGAAAGATAAAGTGAGAAGGAAAATGAGAAATCATTCTTCAGGGAGGATGGCCATGCCACAAACACTTCTCCTCCATTCTCCTCTTGGGATCTTAGGTACATATGAAAATGTGTCTGATGTGGTTTTCAAGACACTACATTCATGACTTAAACCATAATCAACCATATGGGAATCCAGCGACTTATTCCCTATCATCTGCTGATTTTCCAGTCCAACAAAAATTTCCCATCAGCCAATCATTTAATTTATGCTGTAGGATATTAATTAATTATAGTACACATAAAAATTAAGACATGGGGCCAGTAAGTATATGTTGGGTGAGGTACTGAACTACACAGCTGGCCACACTTTGAGTCCCGGACTAGATTTTTTTTTTGCTTTCCCTTTTTCTCCCTCTGTCTTTCTCTGATCAAATTAAATAAAAATACTAAGTTCTTCAAAACCTTCAAATAGAACTACCATATGATCCAGCAATTTCACTCCTGGGTATCTACCCAAAGAACAAGTGAGCACTCAGTCGGGAAAAGCACTTGCACAACTATTTTCATTGCAGCATTACTCATGATTGCTGCACAACTATTTTCACTGCAGCATTATTCATGATTGCTAAGACATAGAACCAACCCAAATGTCCACAGACAGATGAATGCATTGAAAAATTGTACCATATATACTCCATGGTATACTACTCAGCCATAAAAAACAACAAGGCCCTGAAAATTGATAGAAAGTGGACACGTATGGAAGATATGTTGCTGAGTGAAGCAAGTCAGGCTATGAAAGAGGAACATTATATGTCTTCACTTAACATAAACCAACTGTCCACATTCTATGGTAGAGACTGAAAGACTGGAGAACATAAAAGTATTAAAAGTTGTAATGAACACTAGAGACAAAGTAAAAAGAGAGTGTGGGAGGGAGAGTGTAGGAAATTTGGGGTGAAAATGGAGAGGTAAGATATTTGTGGCACTCAGATAAGATTTATTATCTGTTGATGAAGATATCTCAACTGGGCTGGACTGAGATT